TCTATCTATCTATCTATCTATCTATCTATCTATCTATCTATCTATCTTGACTACCTTGGTTTCTTCTTCAGTTTCTAATTTTCCTCTCTAGGGATACCAATGGAGGAATTTTAGTGCAATAACAGAGTCAATGTTTTATTATTTACTACCTTCAGAAGACATACTTGCTTCTCAGGAGCCGCATGCAGTTCTAAGATGCATTTTAGCAGATTCAAGGGATCACCTGATGGAACTTTATTTGAGGAGCACAAGACATAAGGTGCAATTGTTTTCTTTGGATTAGATACATGCAAAATGGTATCTTCCAGAAATTTTGAACTACGTTCCCCACAGTCTCTTGTAACTGACCATGGTTGGAGCTAGCAAAAACTGGAATCCAAAACTTCTGAATGACACACAATTGTCTATCCTTGGCCATGCTGCAAGCCCAATACTTCACAGAACTCCTTTGATTCAAGTTCTAGTCCGTTCTTCTGTATCTTTTTGTTTCAATCACTGCTGCTATATTTTCTATCTTCTACACATAGAGATTAACTCTTCTGTTTTGTATGTAATTTTCATCCTACTTCAGAAAGCCTGAATAAGTCAGATGGTATAGAGGGTAGCCACAACTACAACGGCAGGTCCATTTACAGGTGCTGCTCTTCCTAACGCTGAGTCATGATTTTCTTTTCATCTGGTTATTTTCTTCCCATTTTGAAAAGGTGCTGTGGAATCTTCAGCATCCTCCAGGAAAGTCCCTTAAAGCCTAAAACTATAGTAGATATCCTGTTGGGACAATCTGTTTCAGAATGTCCCCATCTCTTGCTATCTTGAGATCCAGCACTAAATGTAGCCTCCTCCAAGCCTCCTGAAGTCTTTCATTTCCTTCTCTGTCAGATACCAGAAAGTTACAGATGAGTGCATAATCTGTTGTGGTCATGTACACAAGGGTTACAGAGTAAGGCACAATTAATATTTCAGTTTTAAATATATCAGGCTAAAACTTGGCAGAATTATTTGCTTTCCATAGCAGACCAGAAAAAATAAGTACTGCCAAGACCATTTTAAACTTATTTTGCACTATCCATTTTCTAGATTATCCTTCTACGGTATCTGTGTTATGCAAATCTGCAACCACAGAGATTTATTCTCTAGAAAGTAGAGCAATATTTTAAAATCATAACTATTTTGGGCCGGTCTGAGGAATGTTTTTATTCACATACATAGAATAACTGAGCTGTAATTAAATATATGGAATGTGTAGTAGCTGCAGGCTAACATGACTGCAATATGTATTTGTAAGGATATTAAAAACTTATCCAGGTATAACAGGATCAGCTAATCCATTGCCATATAGATGTTTCTGACCTACGGTATCTAGCATTCCCAGACAATCTAATCAATTATTCTTGGGTAAGATCAACTAGAGCAGTGGTGGCTAATCTTTTTGGGCTCCTGTGCCAAAAACTGTGCGCGCTTGCACGCTCGCGCTCGCAGGCCAGCACCCAGAAGGTAATGCACACACCCCCTTGCCCCCTATGCATGCACGTGCAATCCCCACCCCCTACCCCCGCCGCCCCCTTATCTGCACTGCACCTCACAGATGATTTTCGGCGGGTTTGAGACCTTTCTCGGCCTCCCAAAGGCTTGAGGAAGGCTTCCGCAGGCTTTGCAGGCCGAAAACTAGCTCCATTTCGTCACTTCTGGTATTTTCAGAAAAACAGGAAGTGATGAAACGGGGCTAGTTTTCGGCCTGCAAAGCCTGCAGAAGCCTGCAGAAGTCTTCCTCAAGCCTTTGGGAGGCCGAAAAAGGCCTCAAACCCATCAAAAATCAGCTGTGAGGCGCATGCATGCGCAGTGAGGTAAGTTTGCCTGCAGCTCGCGTGCTGGCACAAATGGCCCTGCTTGCCACCTGTGGCACGCATGCCATAGGTTCGCCATCACGGAACTAGAGTGTTATTTAGTATTTACAAACAGGAGAACTGGATTCTCTTTCCACTTTGCTTCAAGTCACTCTGTCAGAAAATCCAGCAGTGAAAGTGAAACAAAAGCTTATGAATAGAGGGATTTTCTACTCATGTAAATCGGACACAAGCTAATAATGCTTCAAAGACTATTCAGAATTCACTCTCAGACTCTAATAAGCCTCCATAGAAATCCTGCAAAAATTACATGTGGCTGTTGTTAAATTAATGAAGGTATAGTTCTGCATGTTTACCATCTCCACGTTGATATTGCAGAAAGAACAATAAGAAAAAAGAGAAAGTGCATGGATAATGGAACAGTTCACAAGCAAGGATACATTTTGAGTTAGATGCAAGAGCAGAAGAAAGATGGAGGGGAGGACACCACTATAATTTGTCTATTTATGTATTTATTAAAAAGTGCCTCCAAATGGCTTGCAGTTTATTTAATGCATTTATTTATGGGGGGGGGGGGGAAATTACACCAGTAGTTTACACATAAAACTTAGTAAAATCATAAAGACCATTAAAAAGCAAAACTATTGTACCATAAAAAAGTCAAAATGACAGTCACTCGATTCCAAAGGCCCTCAAAGGCCTTTCACTTCACTTTAGAAGATTCCTGGTCTATACTGGAGGAAAATCATGAATTGCACTTCGAAATAAAATTCTAGTCCAATGCTAAAACAACCAGCTTTATTATGTCTTGTTTTTGTGATCTGTTTAGAAAAGCAGAGGTCATTATCACTTCACATGTATTGTCAAGCCAGGAGGAACCTGCCAAGTAACCAAAATCCACAAGCAGTGCTGCAATTTTAAAGTCAGACATCATAGTTATGATGACGTCAAAGGAAATTATGTCTAGATCCATAAACAAAGTAGAGCGATGTTTAGAGAACGAAGGGGAGAAAAATAAACAAGAGAAGCAGGAGAAAAGGAGGAGGGAGAAGAATTGTGTAAAAAGTCAAGGCTCATGGGAACAGCTGTCAATTGTAGAGTGTGACCCTCCCCATCAGATGTCAGGAATAATTTGGAGGGAGTTTGCACATTCTTTTTAAACCTGATTTGCCCAGGCAAAGTTGAAGCATCATCCACCTTCCCTCTGGGCTTGATTCCCTGCTGGGTGAACCAGCTATGGCCTTGGCCAAGCAAAGGGCAAGCAATTTTTGACAGACCTGCTGCTTTGCCTACACCCGCATGCTGAGGACACTGTCAACTCCTGCCATGCTCTATATAAATGACCTTTGCGATCACCTTATAAGCAATTTCATCCTCTTTGTGGATGACGTAAAACTATTCAACCCCACCGACAATGATACTGTCCTTCAAATTGATTATGTGTCTGAATAGCCAAACAATTGGCAACTCCAAATCTTGATCAGCAAATGCTCTGTCCTACACATTGGTAAAAAATCAGTACACCAAATACAAACTAGGGGGATATGACCTCGTTGATGATCCTCACTCTGTCAAGGACCTTGGAGTACTCATATCAAATGACCTAAGCGCCAGAGCTCATTGTAACAAAATTGCCAAAAAGGCATTAAGAGTTGTAAATCTAATCTTACAAAGCTTCTCCTCCGGAAATATTGAATCGCTAACTAGAGCATATAAAACTTTTGCTGGACCAATACTCGAACGCAGCTCATCAGTCTGGAATCTGCACTTATATTAGACATTAATACAATTGAGTGAGTCCAGAAGTATTTCACGAGAAGAGTACTACACTCCTCTGCTCGCAACAGAATACCCTACACCAGGGGTCCCCAACCACCAGTCCGCGGACCGGTACCGGTCCGTGGAACAAGTCCTACCGGGCCGCTGGCTTGCTGGGCGCCGCCATCTTGTTTTGATGAAAAAGTGCTTCCGGTGAGCTTTCTACCCGGAAAAGCTCACCGGAAGC